GCCTCAGCGCTCCCCGCCGCCCGTGGGCTCGGCGCCAGCCCTGTCACACAAAGGCCAGCGTCTGCCTCGCCTGCAGGTGCCGGGGCCGGCAGCCTGCGCACCCTGTTTTCCGCTGAGGGCCCAGCGGGGCCCACCCACGCTTGAGGCCAGCGGGCCTTGCTGCGGTCAGCGGGAACGTGCCGGGGCGGCCGGCCCAGCTCTGCACTCAGACCCCGTGCTGCGCCCGGGGCCCTGAGGCCTCCAGGGCTGTGCGGGGCGGGGGCGGGGGGTTGCGCTGCACCCCCTCACCTGCTGCCGTGGGCTCTGCTCAGTGGCTCCGGCCGCCACAGGTGCCCGTGCGCGGGGGGCTCCAACTCCCGGCCCCGCTTGCACCGCCAACATCGTGCGCTCCCCGGGGGGGGTGGCCAGGCCCGGCTGTCAGCCGGGAGGTCTGGGCACAGGCCGGGCTGGCCAGGGCCGCGCAGCGCCCCCGTCTGCCCTCTCCTGCCCGAGTGCTTTCAGCAGCGCCCAGTCCGGTCACGTGGCCCCGACACGCCGCCGCCGCACGCACGGCCCTGCCTCCCGGGAGCCCGCCGTGGCCGCAGCCGGGCCCGCTGGACCGTCCCCAGCTCGTCCCCTTCAGCACGGTCACAGGCAAGGCCACGTGGCCCCACGCCACGCCCGGGAAGGTCCGGCCCGGGACGTCCGGGACAGCAGCGGGTACCTTGCCCGTCGCGTTAAGACTCCGGGTAACCGTGACCCAAGGGGGTGACCCACGGGGACCACCACGGCATCTCGACGCAGCTAGCGAAGACTCCCCGCCCTGCTCAATGTGGGGCGCCGGGAGACGCACCCCACGGGGCCCCTCGGGAGGAAGAGCCGGCTACGGACGAGGGCTGTCGCCCACTGGTGACCCCGCGGTCTCGTGCCCGCCCTGCTCCTGCCAGACGAAAGACGCGGGGACAAGAGGAGTTTTGTCCGGAGTCACCAGCCCCCACACAGATGGCGCTGGCCCTGGCGACGGGCAGCAGCCGGGGTGGCCACAGCCCAGCTCGCAGCCCCAGGCCCTGTTCCTGTAGCGCCCCGGCCCCTGGGAAGGCAGGAGGGGCCTGGCCTGGCTGCCCCGGCCTCGCCAGCGCTGGCCCTCCCTGGCGCCAGCCCTGGCCCTCCCCGGCCTCCCCGGCGCTGGCCCTCCCCGGCCTCCCCGGCGCTGGCCTGGCCCAGCCGCCCGTTGTCCCTCCGGCTCCGGCCTTGAGCGGCTGGTGGCCGCACCCGGCTGTGGCGGCCGTTTGCCCAGGGAACTCGGCCGAGGCGCTCCGCTTTGCGTCCTCGGGCTCCTCCGGCCGGACGGTAGCGAGGCCAGAGACGAACGAGGCAAATTCAGCTTCGTGCCGGGCCGGGGTGCGAAACAGGGCCCGCGGCTGCTGCTGTGACCCTGGGACGAGGGGCGATGCCGGGACGAGCACACGGGACCAACGCTCGGGGCGGTCTGGTTTGCCCAGCTGGCCCCTGCCCCTCCCGCCCTCCGGCTGCGGCCTCCGGCCCTCCTGGGCGGGGCGTGGGAGTGGAGCAAGGGGGTTCAAGTAGTCACTGTGACCGGCTCTCCCCGGGGCGTCTCGGCACTCTGAGGCCGCCGCCCCCGAGTGTGACCCCGGCCAGGGAGCGACCAGGGGCAGCAGACCCCTCCGGTCTCCCCGCTGCCCCCTCGCAGTGGGCTTCCGTCCCTCTGCCCATTCTGCTCCCCGCTCTGTCTCTGGGGAACCCCCACACCCCCCACGCCTCTGGCCTGTACCCCAGCTCTTGGGTGCAAAAGTAAATAAGTCTTAAAATCTTAAAAAAAGAACTTGACGCGTCCCTTGGGCACGTCTTGGGGCGCCTGCCCCGGCCCACAGCTTGTAGTGACGGCACCGTCTTCAGCGGTCAGCACCTGCAGGTCCATTGCCAAGCACACCCAGGGGTGAGCCCGTCCGGCCCACCAGCACCCCGGGCACCAGCGCTGGGTCAGCGGGGACTCGCCACTGGCCGGGCCAGCGGCAGGAAGCGGCACTCGCCGGGGACCGCCCCCCGCAGTCACGGTCACTGGGCACGAAGCACAAAGCTCCTTTCACAAAGTGAGGAGACGTGAATGTCAGAAACACAGTTCTTTCTTCTTTTTAAAAAGATTTGTTTATTCATGCGCACAGAGCTGGGGCACAGGCCAGAGGTGCAGGGGGTGAGAGGCTTCCCCAGAGAGAGCGGGGGGCAGGGCCGGCCACTGAGGGGAGCAGCGGGGAGACAGGAGGGGTCTGCTGGGCCCTGGGGTCGCCCCGAAGCGGCTGCGGCCGGCTTCCCAGGGCTGCACCCGACCTGCTGGCCACCGGGAGGGGCCACGATAGTGCAGAAAGCTGTCAGGAGGGGCTGGGGGGGCCTTGCGGGGCCCCCTCTGTGGGGGCCGAGCACCCGGCGGGACAGGCCCCAAGCCTGGCACCCGCACCCCACCCGCCTCCTGGGGCCCCAGCCCTGCCCCCACGCTGCCAACCCCAGCAGCCGCCTGGGCACGGGTTCGCACCCGTGTGGGGGCCCTGGGGCAAGACCTGCGCCGCTGCCCAGCGGGCAGCTCCTCTGCGGCGCCCGGCGTCCCCAGCAGTTGGCACACGTCAGCCTCTCCCCCGCCAGGCGCTCAGGCCCGGCAGCTGCTGGGGAGCAAAGGGGTACCGACAGGCGGGGGCGGGGGCCCGGTCACTCCCTGGCCACTCGTGCTGCAGCGAGAGCCTCATGGTGCTGCCCTTTAACCCTTGCGCTCCCAGGGAAGCCCCAGCGGATTTCTTACACGGAGCCAGGAAGCCTCGCCGGGCAGACCGCTGGGCAGGAGCCCGCCAGGGCCGGCGCAGAGGCAGCGGCCGCGGCTGCCCCAGAGAGGGTCTCCGTGGCCAGGGAGCACCCCGCCCACCCCGGGGCCGAACCCCTCAGCCTCCGCAGACACGGGGGTGGGCTGGGCCCTCCGCTGGGGAGGTAAGGCAGCGGCTGACCCGGCCCAGCCTGCCCGGTCTGGGCTGGACCTCGCCCCTCTCTCCGGGCAGCCCGCGGAGGCAGCGGGCACCTCCTCAGCCGCCTGCCCGCGGCTCCTTTTCCCAGGGAAGCTCCTGGCCTTGCCCCGCCCCGGGCACACGTTAGGCCCCTTCTGTGGGGGCAGCCAGAACGGCAGCCCGACCCGAACAGACGCTGCCCTCAGAATGGCCTCCTGAACTCGGGTTGACACTCCGAAGTGGGTGCTGTGGGGCAGCTGCGCGAGGCGTGGACCCGGCCCGGGCTGGGCGTGGGGGGCCGGAAGCACCCTGAGGGCGAGCCCGCGGGGGGTGGGCGCTGGCGCCCTGACGCCGCCCTGCCTCGAGCAGCCTCGCTGGGAGGCGGCAGGAGGTCCGCTGCAGCTGCTCAGGGCCCCGACCCCACCCCGCGCAACTTCAGCCCCTCCGGTGGGGCGCCTGGCGGCCAAGGCCGGCGTGGGGCGCTCGCGAAGGCCTGCGGGGCGGGGGGGCCGGGCTCTGAGGGAGGCCTGGCTGGGCGCCCTCCCACCCAGGCCTTGCTCGCCAGGACGCCCAGGGCTCCCGGGGGAGCGCTGAGGACATGACCTGCACCCCTGAACGCCAAGAGGATTTCCGGGGGAGACGAACGGCTGAAAGGCCAGCGTTGTTCATCCCAAGGCAGCAGAACGGACATTCGGGCACTTCCCAGTTGAGCCACAGGGAGGGCACTGAGGAGGCCGAGGGCGCTGGCCGGCCTCGGCGGGGGGCGCGGGGGCCAGCACAGCAGCCCAGCTCCTCAAGACTCCGGGAGTGCCTGCGGGGCCGCCCCACGCCTGGCCAAAGCCGGTGGCGTTCGGGACCACCGGGCCGGGCCCAGGCTGCCCTGCCCAGGGAGCTCAGTCTCCCTCCGCCCTAGCCACTCACCCAGTACTCCGGGCCCTTCTGCCAAAGAGGTGAGGCCACCCACAGCCCCCGGCCGCGGCCCGGTCCCGCCCCGGACGGTGGCCAGGCCAAGGCGCAGCCACGGTCCAGAAACAGCAGCCCGGGACGGAGGAGGAAGCCCGGTCGGCCCGGGGGCTCAGGCGGGCTTCTGGGGGCTGCTTCCGTCTCCCAGCAGCCCCTGGCGCCAAGGCCAAGCCTAGGAGCGCTGCCCTCAGCTTGCCAACCCCCCGCCAGGCTGGGGCCACCTGGGAGCTGGATACCCAGCCTCTGGGGAGACCCCGGAGCACCCCGCGCCTGCAGCTCGAACTCGGCTGGCGGCCCAGGGCAGGGGAGCTGGGGGCCGGCGGCCTCCGGCCCTGGGGACACAGACCGAGACCTCCTGCTCCAGCACCAGGAGAGCCTCTCCCATAGACAGGGCCACCACCCGTGCCCGGGCCCGGTGGCACCAGCTCCTGGGTGGGACTCTCGGACTGCGGCCGGGCGCCGGCCCCGGTGGCCTCTGACCACCCTCCCGGGGGTCCCTGGGCATCCTGCAGGACGCTCTGCGCCCACCCGGGGCAGACGGCGCCGCGGCCTGTGCTGGTTACGAGGCGCCAGGAGTCCGGGGCACTGCCCCGTCCGGGGAGGCGCAGCCCAGGCAGGGGCGCGCCCAGGC